CCCCGCCGGCGCGGCCGTCATCGCCCAGAGCGGGTGCGCGGCGGGAGCGCGGAGGGGGCGGCCGCCGCCAGCGCCGCCGCCGCGCAGGAGCAGGAGGAGGAGAAAGGGTGCGCAGCCCGGAGGCGGGGTGCGCCGGTGGGGTGCAGCGGAAGAGGGGGTCCAGGGGGGAGAACTTCGTAGCAGTCATCCTTTTTAGGAAAAGAGGGAAAAAATAAAACCCTCCCCCACCGCCGCCTTCTCCCCACCCCGCCGCCGCACCACACACAGCGCGGGCTTCTCGCGCTCGGCACCGGCGGGCCGGGCGCGTCCTGCCTTCATTTATCAAGCAGCTTTTCGGAAAATGCATTTGCTGGTCGGAGTTTAATCCGAAGAGGATTCCTGCCCCCGTGCCCGGCTCGTCCACCGGCCGCCCGTCCCTGTCCGTCTCCCGTGGAGGCGTGAAGCGGTCCCGCGGACAGAGATCCATGTCTGTGCCCGCGCGTGTGCGTGCGTGTGTAAATTGCCGAGAGGGGGGAAATCGCAGGACTTCTGCCAGTGCCGGACTGAAAATTGTAATTCATCTGCCGCCGCTGCCTTTTTTTCCTCGTGCTCTTGAGCTCTCCGGTCGGGATTCCTGCGGATTGACATTTCTGTGAAGGAGAAGTCTGGAATCCAACTGGAAATTCTCCTCATTTGTCCCCACCGCACCCCACCCCCGACTCCTGATTCATTTGGAAGTTTCAGAGCAGCTATACCTGGAGAGTTCTGGAGATCGACGGAATCTTTGCCTTACGCATTTGTTTTGTTTTCACAAAAAAGGAGACTTGACAGAGGATCATGCTGTCCTTAAAAAATACAAGTAAGTTCTTTGCACAGGAAATGGGTTTAATGTAACTTTCAATGGAACACCTTTGAGATTTTAACTTTAAGTGCGTTCGAGTGAGTTGAATTTCCAGGCAGTTTAATACATTCTTTTCAGCCGTGTAACTTGCAGTATATGCCCGGCTTCCACCCAGTGTTTAAAAGGAAAGTGCACCTGATTTTGACTTAGTTTTGAGTTTGTTTGTTTTTTTTTAACCTCTCAGCATCACAGAGGAAGCAGACTGATATTAACAATAATTAATAATAATGTGCCTCATGCAATAAAGATCCGAAAGGAATTTAAGTAAAAATTTCCTGCATCTCATGCCAAGAGGGAAACACCAGAATCAAGTGTTCCGCGTGACTGAAGACACCCCCTCATCCAAGAATGCGAAGCACATCCAATAAAATAGCTGGATTATAACTATTCTTTCGGGGCCGTGGGGCGGGAGCAGGGGCGAGAGGTGCTGTTGGTCCCCGGCTGCTTTTCCTCGGGGGCAGGATGGCGCACGCTGGGAGAACAGGGTATGATAACCGGGAGATAGTCATGAAGTACATCCACTATAAGCTGTCGCAGAGGGGCTACGAGTGGGATGCCGGGGACGCGGGCGCCGCGCCCCCGGGGGCCGCCCCCGCGCCGGGCATCTTCTCCCAGCCCGGGCGCACCCCTGCGCCCGCCAGGACCTCCCCGCCGCCGCCCCCGGTCGCCCCCGCC